GGTCCAATGGCTCACTGAGGTTGGAGTCATCTCCAAAGAGGAAAGTGATTTACTGTAAGTGATCTCATTCAGCTAATGATATTTCTGAGGAAGGGGCCCAAGTGTTCTGAGCGTTAGACACGCACACATGATCACACACACAGCAGAATTTTAGAATGACTGTGAAAGCTACTGTGACTGTGAAGGGGAGATTAGAGGGACGTTTGGTGGGTGACACACAGAACTGGGTGGCTACAATCCAGCGTGAGGCAGTCGGGGAGGAGGCGAGGCTCATGTTGCAGTTACTTTCTCCTTGCTGGGACAAGATACCTGACACAAGTAAAAGGAGGAAAGTTTTATTTTAGTTCAAGTTTGTAGAGGTTTCAGTACATGGTATAGAGATACCTTCCCCATCCTGTCACAGTCTGGGAAGTGTATACTTTTTTTTTTTTTTTTTTAATTTTAAAGAGAGGAAAAAAACCCCAGAAAAATCAAGAAACAATAAAAAAATCAAAGCCAGATGACAGAAAACCAAAAGGTGAAAGACAACAACAGCAACAACAACAACAAAAACAGTGATACAGGATTTCAAAACAAGATGATAGGAGTTTAACAACGGTTGTTATATTGCATATTGTTATCTTCTGAACAGTCACTTAACTTACCAGATGCAAAACTGGAATGCAAAATTGATCAAATCATATGATTTCCCTTTGAGCAGTTTCTTTCCCTTTCACTATATCTATTGCAATTTTGGGGTCTTATTTACTTTCAGTTTCTTATACCAGTGAGACAAAACAGTGTTTATACATGAGTCTGATTTATTTCACTTATGGGTATGGTTTCTAATTGCATCCATTTACCTATAAAAACCTCTATCCTTCTCGATAGCTGAGTACTGCTCCATTGTATAACAATACCACATATTTTTATCCATTCCTCAGTTAATGGGCATTTGGGTTGTTTCCGAGATCTGGCCATTACAAATTGTGCAGCTATAAACATGGGTATACATGTATTGCTTTGGCATGATGTTTTTAGTTCTTCTGGGAAAATACCCAGAAAGGAAATACGTGGGTCAAATAGAACCTCTAATCCCAGTTTTTTGAGGAATCTCCACACTGATTTCCACAGTAGTTTTTACCAGTTTACACTCCCACTAACAGTGTAGAAGGGTTCCTTTTCCCCCAAAGTCCCACCAGCATTTGTTATTCATTGGTTTCTTGATGATAGCCATCCTTTCTGGTGTGAGATGATACCTCAGTGTTGTTTTAATTTGCATTTCTTGAGTGACCAAAAATGTTGAACATTTTGTCACATAAGTATTTGCCATTTGCATTTCTTCATCTGATAAGTGTGTATTCATCTCAGTTGCCCATTTTTGGATTGGATCTTGAATTTGGAGGGCCTGATATTTTTACAATTCTTTATATGTTCTAGATAGAAGTCCTTTGTCATTTCTTTTAGATGTGCAAAACTTTTTAATGAGATGATATCACATTTGCTGATGCTTTGAAGTATAGGAAGTTTGTATTTGTAATCCCGTGGAAACTTTATTGGAATTCTAGCGAGTTAATTCCAATCTACCACTTCCAGTGCCCACGGCAAGAATAAAGACACTAAGGCTTATTTGTAGTTATGGGCAGTCAAGGGGTCCTGAGTCCAGCCCAGATGAAGGTTCACAGAACAAAGACCTTGGCCCAGGGCCTAACCTGGATTTTATTAATTTGTGAAGAAGCAAGTGGCTAGAGGAAGAGTGCTAGACTATCAGGAATCATGAGAGTACTGTGAGCTGGGCTAGCTAGGAGGCCAGAAAGCACCTCAGCAACATGCAGGGAGAAGGACACACAGAAAGACCAACCTGCATAACACAATTGAGGTAGTATTTAATGTTTAGAAGGCTGATGTGTAAACCTTTTCTGCCCGGGAAGTCAGAGCCTCTTACCTTGAGGCTCAAACCCAGTTAGAAGCCCTGGATGGTTGGCTGCATGTGGCTGTGTTCAACCATTTAGGGAGACACTGTGGTAGGAAGACAGTGACCATCATCTGGCTTCAAAGATTATGCATCAGTACCTCAGCCAGCCCTGTTTACATTGCTTAGGGCTAATTGAAGGGGAAAGGAGATAGCTTAGCTAGCTCTGTACATATCAGTACGTGGAGATAGGACCAGGTTTAGGATGGACAGCATGGCAGAGGGCCATGGCAGAAGAAAAGCAGTTCATGGCTAGATAGGCAGGAGGCAATAAGACTTCTTTCCCTTTTTATTCCACTCAGGCTTCAATCCTATTGGTGGTGACATCCACATCCAGGGATGGGTCATCCTTCTTTAGTAAACCTATCACCCACAGCCAGAACTAGCCAAGCCAATCAGTGGACTAATCCAGTGGACTAGTTGCACACCCATGAGTGAGTCTCTCCCCAAATTCCCACCTATGAGTGTGTGAGGATTTGAGGAAACATCTAGATATAAGCCATGACAGATTACTCTCTCATGTTTGGTTTTTTGGGCAGATAATAGTATTATTAATCTGATAAACTGAAACCTTAACAATGGAATAAATTTGAAGATGGAAAAAAAAGATTTGGATTCGGGCTTTAACTATGAGTTTAGAGTATCTGTGAGACAATTTAATAAAGCTTTATAAGAAGGTGGCACACATATATACTGACACTTTGATGGGCCATTATTAGCTACAAAGATAAAATTTCTGGTTATCACATCGTGAGAAATCCAATCTATAGCCATGACTGAAATTTCCCAAAGAGAAAATGAGTGAGAAGGAAAAGTGCCGTGCACTGACGAGGTGGAGACCACTGCTATTGGATTCCTTAATGGTGTGAGACTTCTGGCTGATGATAAAGATCGTGGTAGGGTCATTAAAATGTAATATCAAAGAGAAGTGAAGGTGATGGTAATGGTCATTGAGCAAGTGAAGAGATTATGAGGCTTCTTATTAATAAAGGTTTTAATATTTCTGAGTAAAGGCTGGAAGCAGTTTGAATCATTCAGATGCTAGCATCTGTTGGCAATGCTCAATTATTTTAAAATAATTTCACTGCAGAGGGGAGAAGTCTGTATAGTCTGATAGTATAGTAGTCAAAAGAGGAAAATTTTCATACTCAGGTGAAAAAGATTGATTTGGAAGTGCCTGTGGGAAGCCAAGAGAATGCACATGCCATCTCCTTTCCCTGACGTACCTGGGTTGTGAGCACATGAGCAGCTGTCACTCAGAAGAGCCATTAGAGAAGCCCTGTCCTAACAGAAGACCTTCATTTTCATTTAAACCCAGAGGCGGAGGTGGAGGAGCATCATGTAAAGTCACCAAGGAGATAGTGGAAGCGGAAGTTTCAGGATTGCAGTCTTGATAGGGAGACAGGGAGAGAAAGAGAGAGAGAGAGAGAGAGAGAGAGAGAGAGAGAGAGAGAGAGAGAGAGAGGAAGAAGGGGGATAAAAAGGGGGAAGGAGAAGGAGAGGGGAGAGGAAAGGAGAAAAAGAATATGTAAAGAAGTGGTCATGGGAAGATCATTGGATGGAATGAGGCAAAATTCAAGTGAGTTAGTTTTCAATACTCTGAAATCTTCAAAATGTAATACAACAACATGAAGTGGTAGAGCCAAGGCGATTACCCAGAACACTTTCCCACATCTTAAACCTCAGTATCTTCCGAGATGCTTTTGAAATTTTGGACGCCTGGGCCTAGGCTCTACTTTTCAGTTACTAACTCAGGCTCTCTGATAGGGAGGCCTGGAGAACTCCCTGTATACTTCATTGCTATCTTTTATAGTGTACTTTCTGTGCACACTGTTAATTTATATTTTAAAATTAGATATCTACTTGATTATTGGTAATATATTGCATGACAAAAACTTGTATGTGAATGGAACAAAAATTATAGAGAATGAATCTTATGAAAGAAGTTAAGGAATCATGGACAATTAATTGGAAGAATTACAGAAGGTGCTTAATTTCAGAATTTTATTTTTAATGCAGTGAAACATCATTGAATAATTTTAAGTGAGTAGTGATGCTATGAATGATGTATTTTAGGAAAAAATCTTCTGATTTCTGTATATAATATTAGCAATGAACTTCTAGTAACTCACAATTATTCCACTCCTATACTTGAGATGGACATATTAACTATAATGTGATTTTAAATGAAGCTTACTAAACACTTTGGTAGAAATAAAAACTCTAACCTATAATCCTCTAAGCATTATTTGTCTACTATTGAGAATATGACGCTCACTGTTATTATTTAACACACAGCTGTATTTATCTGCAATAAGGAATTTATTTAAGTGGAAAATCATTCATTTTTGCTATAATATTGATTTCCAGTTTCTTTAGTAAATTGAAAGTTACCAGCTTTAAAATATATAAATAAAACATTTTAGTGATTTTTATGCTGAAAATTACCTTTAGCTTTCCTTTTCAGCCTGATAAATTCCTTTGCAGTATTATGAAATAATTAAAAATGGTAATTTGGTGACCATTCTGAGTCACAAAGAGTGACTTATTTTATGCTTTGTGTATCTCACGATCTTTGCTGTGGCAAAATGGTGTACCACCTTTCAAACTTTTCCTTACATTTGGGTCTGTCTCTGAAGATACTTTTAAGAACTTTGTAATTCTGATCAAGAATTCTGTTTCTGCCTGGAGAACTTCCTTCTCTTGCTGAGTTTGGGTGACATGATGCTGATTTCCTTTGTTCCTGCTTCGATATGTTGAAATTGCTTCAAAGCTTTGAAGTTCTGAGATTTAGAGCAAAGATGAAATGCAAATATCTATGTGCTATTTTCATATGGAAATGATATTCTGAATCAGAAATGTGTTTCTTTGTTGGCATACATTGGGTCTTATAGAATAAATTAAAAGACACTTGCAAGATAGGTTCTGTTTTTCTTATAGCTGCACTAAAATACATTAAATAACTAGAATCCGAAACTCCTAAGACTTTAAAAATTTTTCTCATTAAATTTTAGTGTGTAAGAATTTGAGGATTTTGTTTTTTCTCCAGTGTTTGGAGTTGGTGCCTTCCATTCTCTGAGTCCCAGTGTTCTTTTCTTGGTAAGTAGCTTTATATTTTATTATTGGTGATTATTAAAGCTGAATTTCATTGTGAAAAATCAGCTCAGATACAGAACTATAGCAAACACTACTTGTCGTCTGTCCTTTCCAACTAAATGACTACTAACCTTTTGGCACATGTCCTTCCAGGCCTCTCCCTAGCTGTGTCAGTGTTGCTCCTGTAACTCTGTGTAGATTTCAGCCCGACTGGGTGACCTCTGTGGGTCACACATTCTCTCTTGCTGGGACTGTCTCTCTTTGGGTTGAGCTTTACCTCTTTTCATGCTTTCCTTTGTTTTATCTGAGAAAGACTTCATTCACTAACTGTCTTTTATTTTTGCTTGCCTGCCCCCATCTTTCTGATGTACTCCTGCAGTCTTTCATATTCTCCACATAGCGACTCGTGTGTGTTTTGAGTGTGCATATTTGTGTAAATATATCTATATGTGTATTTGCATGTGCATGTATATATTAAAGATGAGTGTACATTTTTATATCAATGTCAGAAAGAGTTATTAGACATAAACTGTAATTATTTTTAAAATCCTTTTCATAATAATAAATATAGATATAAAGCTTCATTTTAAATGATAGAATGGTATAATACAATGCATCATAGACTTAAATTATTTATCCAATACTTTTAAACATTTATTTTTGATTTTTAGATTGTCTAAATTTTTGTTACTATGTTTAGTTCTTTTAATATGTATATTTTTCCGCATTTGTAGTCTCTTAATCATTACAATAAATGTTGAAGAAGTTTTAAGCCTGTTTTGAAGGATAGTGAGTAACATTTCTTTGTCTGTGAATTCTGAATTTTTTGAGTCTCACATATTTTAGGTTTTCCTTTTGCCTATTTTATGTATAAGGCAGTTTGATCTTGTAACACTTAGGTAGCAATGATTTTTATGTATTTATTTATTTTGTCATTATTCCTTTCATACTCTACTGCTTGTATTACCTGATTGCAGGGAGGAAGACTAAATTTAGATAATTTATTTTTGTTATTATTTTGCCTTTTTCAGGGACCTTTTATTTTCTGGACAATACTGATGTCAGTGGATCAGAAAGGAATAGGTGGAAAACATAGATCCATTTTTTTTTCTTAAATATAGTGTAGAGGTATATTCAATCTGACTTTATTCCACATAGGACAAAAGAGAGAATGGGTAAGACTTCTCAGTGGTTTCTGGTTTAAGACAGTAGTCTGAGCCCAGGTATTTTTTTCTACTTCAGCATGAACTAAAAGACGTTTTAGAGGATAAATGAAATAGAAATTCGGAAGTACAAGATTGAGTGCCAATCGTGGATCAAAGTTTTTGAGGACATGTTGGAAACTGTAGAATCAGAGTGTTCCTGATCTGGGAGAGAGTATTAATGTGGATGGAACACCAGAGATAAACCGAGTCTTCAAGGAATCCTGGGTAAGGCACTAAAATCAGAGAAAAGCACCAACAGCAGCAGCAGCACCAACAACAAATCAGAGATCAGAACAGGATCTAGATTAATATCAGGGTGTTTAGTTAGAAGGTTCACTTAGGAAAAGCGAGCGAGGCTCACTGGTTTTCTTCTCATCTGTTTTCACCTTCCTCTCTCCCATTTATTACACTGTATTTGTCCTCTAAGAAAAATCTCAAGGACCTCATCTAAAGAAAATTATTGATCTGCTTTGGCCTGGCCCTTGGTAACACTATGGAATCCACAGAAAGAGGGAAGAAATCCTTCGAGAGACAGAGGGCCCCGGGGAGCAGGAACTCTGCAGTAAGTCCTTCCCTAGGGAAGCTCTGCACACTGAGGTCCTTCTGTGAGTTTCTTCGCCCGCAGCTCAGCTCTCTGTCTGCTCACATGGTGGGAAACCTGTACTGTGACTCCTGCTTCTTCCAGTACCCGAGACTCTCATCAAGGTGCAGAACCTGCTGGAACAAAGGCAAAAGAGATGGAGGAAGAGAACATGGTGACAACATTGACATGTATGAACCATGTATGAACGATAGGCATTCAGGGGCCCGCACGCAAGTAGGGGTAATTTAGGGTGCTGAAATAGAAAAAATAGATATCTTGCTAATATCTTGAAACTTACTATGTTTTCATAAAATAGAAACAAGGACAATGGAAATGGAATGATTTGCAAGCAACAAAGGAGTCACTCTATTAAAACAAATCTGTTGTACTGAAGGGTTAAATGCGCATGGTGAGGCTGAGCTGTGCTCAGGTCAAGAGTATCTGCTACAGCAAAAGGAAACAACAGAACAGAGGATTGAGAATGGCACTGAGATCTAACATATGAATGGCAGACATTTCAGAAAAGGGATAATGGGAGGAGAATTAAAATACTATTAAGAATATTTCTTTGAAGAAATAAAGATTAGGAGGGAAATCTCAAGGAAGATCTAGGTGGGAAAAACTATGAAACATTTTGTGATTTCTAATGAAGCAGAACATCATGATATGTATGGAAAAATAGGTAATCTATAAGAGAAATACAAACAATTAGTCTGATAAGAAATTTCTCTATTCATAACAACAGACACTTAAAGAAAATCTTTTTTCTTTCTCTCTTTCAGGGTTTCTGGGTATTGAACAAGCGTTTTTGCACTGAGCTATATGCTTAACCCTTTTTTGAAATTTTTGTGAGACAAAGGTTCACTGAGTTACTAACTTGCCCCGGTTGGGCTTGAGCTTGCAATTCTCCTGCCTCAGCCTCTTGGAGTTCTGGGATTACAAATATGCACAGCTAGGAACATCTCTTTCTGAAGTAAATTTTTGGAATCTAATCAAAATAGATTGTTGCAAAAACAAAGACATTGTGTTGTTGCAAAACAAAGACATTATTGGACATGTAAACACCATACATTTACCACATTTCTATTTGAAAAAAGTTTCTTGATGAGTGAAATCCTGTTTTTAGTACTTATTTCCTGCCCTTTGCAGTGAGATCTGGCTATTTAAATTTCTACAGAGCCTCACTCCTCCAAGCATTTCTTTTCATTACAGAGAAGTTATGTCTTATTGCTTAATGTAAAATCTTTGTATTTTTCAATGTCCATAAACTCCTAAGAAGAAAGCAAGTGAGTATATTTTAATTTTCCTGCCCCCAAGAATTGTATGGTGTTTCATTCCACTCTATTATATCTCATGAGTGGATTTTGATTTTTTTTTTCTGCTGGCTGTGATTAAGGGAGCAGCAATACATTATGGGTAGTGCATTTTTGGTATTTGGGGGTGCAATTTTTTAAATGACAAAGTAACATCGTATGTGTTTACTAGATTGAAATAAAGCATTAAAAACCAGAATCATTTGAGACTAGTTTAAAGCCAAATCTTTCAAAAGGTCAAATTTCACTCATAGGTATATTTTTTTTTCCTGGTGCAGGATGTTATTTTCATAACATCCTGAGCAAAAATTTAGAAAATTATACATAAACGTTTTGGATTTTGGCTGCTTTTGGATAACTGGGAGATTGTTAACTTTGACTGCCTGATCCTATGACATCAGCCTGGCTTCAGGAGAGACAGTTGTCCCTGCCAGGAGAAGTCTGCAGCACTGGCCACATTTCTTATTACTCCCTTCCCTGTACACAGATGTGCAGCCTGCTTCCTGTCTTGTCACTTTCTCCACCTTGTAAATGTTTTGTTGTGCAACCCTCATGGCAAACACTTCCACCCTAGGCATCCTAAGCGATAGAAACTTGGAAACTTATTATGAGGCTAAGCTTAATTAAATTTTTATGGGATCGTCTTTGAGAAGGACAATTTTTTAAAAATAATAATGTACTACAAAATGATGCCAGTAGTTATTTGAGAAATGTGGGCTGTTTGTTGTTTGGTATTCCTAACAATGTTTACGGTGGTTATGTTTTGACCTATCTGCTCAATGACCAACAGAGAGCAGTATTTTGAGAAAGTCAATAAGGTTTACTGCTGCTGTTTGTGATTCAGAGAACACAGTGAAACCATAGAGTCATGAAAATGGAATGAGACTTATCAGCTGCCCTAACCACTTGGATCGATTATATTCTTTTCTCAATAACAGCAGGCCCTCCTTTTAATTTTTGCCTCCCTATTCTTAAGTTTTGCTCTAAATAAGCTCTGAGCTGTTTGAGACAGGGTTTTTGTATTCACTGTGCTGTTTGGTGAAATGCCATATGCACACATGACATTTTGTAGATAATAAAAAACAGCAATGATGATAGGTTGTTGGTAGTATTTTGTTGATATCCCTGCTGGTAACAATACACAAGGATATCACTTGACATTCTATTGAGTTAACAGAAACTGTTATGCTGATTTTTGCTGCTGTTAAGAGCAGGAAGAATATTGATTTTAATCAGAAGAAACAGAGAGAAATTGCTTTGACATGTGTTTTTACTCGATCTTTGAGAATGTCATGGAATAATGAAAAGAATAAATAATAATCTGTGTGGGGTTCTTTCAGAAGTGCTGTCAGGTAGCTTGAAAATAGTGACCCAAGGATAGGAATTTAGTTTGGAAATGAAGTGCTTAATTAGCCATCACAGTGAAGAATCTCACAAGAGTATTAGAGGTTATTGACTTGAATATTAAACAGCCGCGATTTGAGTTAAACTGTGATTGACAATAAGAAAATATAGTTTAATTTGTCCATCATTTACTTCTTTATTTGTTCATGCAACAAATGTATAAAGAACACCTACCGTGTGGTTGGTGTTGTCTTAAGTCCTGTGAGTATAGCGGAGAACAAAACAAAGTCCTTGTTCCAAAGCATCTTTTATTCTCATAGATGAATACAGATGATAAAAGTTATTACATAATATGTCAAAGGACAATAAGTATGATGGAGAGAAAGATGGAGCAGGGTGAGGGAGAGCAGAAACTGCCAGTGCACACGATTTCACAGTAAACATTTTGTGAACTGTAGATAAGGAAAGCTTTGTTTGAAGACCTAAAGAAATGAACAGCAAACCATGAAGGTGTATATTTATTAAAGAGAGTTCCAAGCAGAAGGAAGAGCAAATTTCCTAAGAAGTGTACTCAGGAGTCAGAAGAGTGCTACGTGGTTGGGAGAGAAGGAGATGTCAGCAAGAAAGTAGTACGATTCAGATCTGAAGAGATGGGGAGGCCACTCTTTATAGGACTCCTGGTCACCGAGGGAGGTGGGAAGCCAATGTGAGGTCATATTTTCATATGAGGTCATATTTTCAAAAATTTAGTTTGGATGCTCTAAAAATAACTGTAATGGAACCAAAAAGGAAGCAAATACTGTAGTAGGGTAGTTCACATCCGGGCTATGTACGATAATCATTTGCATCATCGATGAGTATTAGCAATACAGAATATGAAAATTCACTAGATTTTTTTCATATTTTGGAGTTAGAAGGGGAAGAGTTGGTTGAACTTTTGGACTTTGAAGGAACAGAGTTGGTTGGTTGGTTGTGGTTTGACAGATAAATTCAATATTTCATTATGGGTTATGTCAAGTTTGAACATGGAAGAGATGAGTATTTAGTCCCAGTGGAAAGGTCACAGCCAGATGTGTGAATCTGAGAGTCATCAGGATAAAATTCAGAGCCGTGACAGACAGAAAATGGGGGGATATCACTGAGGGAAAAGTTTCGATGAGAAATTTGCAGAACCGAAATCTAGAATGTTTGAAGGTTAGTTTGGAAGAATCAGCAGTGAAGACTCAAAAGATACGAGGAGACCTGGGGTGGCTTTGAGGGACCCAGGGCAGCAGCTGTTCTGAGGGAGGCTGACACCCGGCTCTGATGCTCTCGGGCAGTGTGATGCAGGGAGAAAGGAGCTGAACAGGGTTGGGATGAAAACCATCTCGAGAGTTGTTTAGAGAAATGGAGGAGACAAAGCTCTTGTGTGTTGACCTCAGAAGTAAACAAGAAGGTAAGAATGGAGACAGAGGCTTCAGTAACTGTTAAGGAGTTTTGCTTTTAACAGGAGAGTGGAACTGCTGAGATAATAGCACTATTGGAATAATGTTATTAATGGAACAATGTTGCTGATAAATGGTTGGCAGGACGCATGCCAAGCCTGCTGGGGCAATGTTGTTCGGGAAAACTTACAAGGGCAGAAAGAATACCAGAAGCAGGAATGCCTTTGGGCTGGGGATGTAGTTCCGTTGTAGGGAGCTTGCCTGGCATACTCAGGGCTCTGGGTTTGGTGCCCAGCACTGATGGGATTAGGCTTGCAGTGGAGAGGAGCATTAATTTCCATTGCCCATTGCACTTTAGAGCCATCCACAGAGATCTAGAAGAACTCTTTGGCGGTAGGGTTTTGCCAGCTCCTCTCCTAATGTGATCAGCTCTGCAGGGCTTTGACTCCAGCATGATTCCTTTAATCCCTTCCTTGGCCCCTCGCAGGGCTGGGGTTGAAGCCTCTGGTATAACGGAATTGTTTATGATAAGTGCTGGTTCCTAGGTTCCGTGGGGACTCCAGAGATCTCTTCTGAGAGTTCAGCCAAAAAGAGATTAGTCTTTAGTAAGAGAGGTGGTACAGGAGAATGCAAGGGCTTTTTTTTTTTTTAAACTCATATTCTCTTTTTCCTTTCTCTCTTCTCCATCTCTTCTCCTCCCCCTCTTCTCCATCCCTTCCCTGGTCACCTTCTGTCCTTCCTCCTTAACTCTCCCTTGCATCCATCCTTCCTTTTCTTTCATATTATGCTTTTATTTATGTGGGTGGAAATAACCTAGAAGAGAGGAAAAGTGACCGAACGTGTGTAGTGAATAGCTGCTGGAATGATTCTCTAGGAGGTGAGAGGGTTAGGATTCAGCAGAGTGGAGAGGTAAGATTCCAAGAGAAGGGTAAGATGGTGTAGCCACAGGGAAGGGGAAATGACTGATTTTGTAAGGATAGATATGGTTATGTTGTAAATTGAGGTGGTAGACATTTAAAAAAGAATTGCTTGTAATTTCTCATTAAAATATGAACTTGCATGCAAGTCAAGGAAAGAGACTAGGTGTTGATGTGATTATAATAATGTGTGATAACAACCTTGTTTTTCCAAAGAAAGCAAATTTCATTAGCTGTGTGCCCTTAGAAGAGAGGCTGATTTCTCTTTCTTACTAAGGATTCAGTCCTTACTAAGGATTTCTGGTGGGCAGACTTAGATAAATCCATTTAGCTTTTGGCTAAACGTTCATTTCCACCAACTACCTTGCATGGGAAATAAATCTCATTCTTAGACTGTTTTGTGATTTGAGTCACGTTAGATAATTCTGTCAACATAACACTAAAATGAGGGAAATGTGGTTACATAAAATGTGTATAGAAGAATGTGTCCTTATTAAGCATACAAATATGTTTAAAATTCACTGACCTTCTTGTGGCTCACAGCATGACATCTGAAATTGTGTCTTCATTGCCTTCTGAGGGCACGGGATGACTGACACGTGATAACCTACTTACAACTGTGGGTCTGAAGCAGGTATTCACATCATTTCATTTTTTCACATTTAGAGTTTAGAGACTTGTATTAAATTATAGCCAAATAAAACAAACTTACTGTACCTGTACTCCCTTGGATGCATGAGGAGATTGGCTGTTCTAGAAAAATGTGTAAATGTAAAAATTGTAATTATTTTGTCTAATTTTTGAAAAGCAAGCAAATGTCCCATTTTAAAATAAATAAGCAACATGATAAGCGGATCCATGACTTCTTGATCTTTAATACAGTGGCCCAGTTACATTGCATTAATTGGCTTTTATAGACTCTTCCAATTATATAATTCTATGGTTTCTAAAAAAAAGATAGTTTTAAGAGTTAAGCCATCAGCAGTTGAGTTTATAACCTAGATGATGCCATACACCAGTTTTCCAGCATCTCTCTCATTTTTTCCTCTGCAATGGCATTTATTTAGTTTTTTGAGGGATGACTAACCCTTTTCATGCACTCTGAACCGTGCACGGATCTAATTTGCATGTTGAATTTATGTTGTTAGGTATATTTGCTTGATTAAGTGGTACTATTATGAGGACCCAAGTGCCATGTTTAACTGAAAATCAAGATGCTGAAAATTAACAAAGGAATAAGGAATAAAGAACAGTGTGGCAGCTTTCCGGCTTGCCAGAGTGATAAGAAGAAGCCGAATCCTGGAGAAGCTTGTAAAGTGTGGCCCTGGGTGAAGGTATCATACATAAACTGCGTGCAATGTGTATTCTTCAGTGTGAGTTGTGAGACACTGACATACACGTTCTAGAAAGTGACACAGCATAATGTAAAAACATAACTTGGAGGTTTTATTAGGCAAACTAACTTTGTTTTTTGTTGCTGACTGCAGATTCACAAAAGACAATACCTACTGAGAATATGGCCCTTGAATCTGCAGCATAACCTGTTGTATGTGGCTCTGTATATACATCCTTGAAATCTATGTTGAAATCAGAAGACACATTGGAAGCTTCTGGAAATCAAGAGCTCTGTTCGAACGTGCTTCTCAGCTGTGTTACTGCTTTACGTTTTGCCTGCCACTTTTCCTCCCTCCCTCTCTAGCTTGCAGAGTTCTATGCATAGATTGTGTTTATATAATTCTACAGTTAAGAGAAAACTATGATTCGTTATTTCATTTTTAACATTTTACTTTTATGTTAAAAACTTACAAGCTCTGTAAAGGTGAGAGCTATGATACTACTTTGTGAATTTTAATAGTCTTCTTTGTGATTGACAAGAGCAGAATTGTAACCAACATTTTAATGACTTCTCTGCCACTTCTGAAGTGTACTTCACATTCTCTTCCTATGAGTGAAATCGTGCTAGTTTTCTGGAATTCAGTGAAATCAGTACTTCTGCAGGAAAGCTCTCCTAATCACCACCCTGCAGGCTCCCTGTTCCTAAATTAGTTGCTCTGTCCTTGGATATTTCATAACAATTTGATTATACCACTTACAACAACTCCATAAAGCAGAGTGACCCTTCCCTAATTGGGCTGAGGGTACTTTTTCTGACCTAGGGCTTAACCTTTCACTCTCAGATGTGTTCCAGGTTAGAGAGTGGGTAACATGTGCGTTCTGTCTTGAAGGGACTTATCGACTCAGGTACTGAAAACTCATAAAGTTATTCAGTCAGTGTCTATCGATGAATTTAAATTGCATTTATTGTTTGTTGGCTGTAGGGACTGTTCAAGGTCTGATAGAGGACTTTGGGTATTTGAGAGGAATATTGTTATTACTTATAGTTATTATTTATGCATGTTAATATTCAAAGACAGTCTAACTGGGGAAGCAGAAGGTAACAGTCCCTCTAAAGAAGGAGGAGATAACCTGGCCCAGATGCTGAGAAACTTGCTGGAAAGTAGTTAGGTTATGTAACTGGTTTCTAAATGCTGACCCAGAGGAATGTGTAAAGGGAAGCAAATATCCTTAAAAATATTATTTCATGGCAAAAAGAAAAAAAGAAAAAATGAAAGAGAAAGCAAGCCTTGGTATTGAGTTAAAAGTAAATATTTATTGGAATTTTGTTTTAATAGGATTGTGGCTAACAGGAGACTATCATCCACTGCTGAACGGATGCTAAGGAAAATGATATTTCCTTAGCGAAAGGAATCGAGAGCCCTGACATTCTCCACACACTGCTAAGAAAATGGGCTGAAGGCTGCCGGGTGGTGCACACCCGCCGTCCCTGCAACCCCAGAGGCCAAGGTAGGAGGATTGCGAGTCTACACCCAGGCTGGGCAGTTTTAGTGAGTCAGTGTCATCACTGTCTCCAGACAAAAAAGAAAGTAAATAAAATGAAAGAAAACAAAAAGGGCTGGGGATGAAGGCCGTATGTTCAGTCCCGGTACTAATACCAAAAGAAAGAGGAGGAGGGGAGGAGAGAGGGGAGGAGGGAGGGGAGGAGGGAGAGGAGGAGGGAGAGGGGAAACAAAGCAAGAAAGAAGAAAAGAAAAACGGAAAAGGAGAGGAAAGCCAGGAGAGCAGGGTGGGCAGGGAGCGGAGAGTGCCGCCGGCCTGGAGGCTCAGGGTGCTGAAGCCCTCAAGCCCATCAGTCATAGAACCAAGCGGTGCCTCCTCCTCTCCTAGAAGGTGGTCAGAGTGGGTTTGTTGATTGTTTATTCCCAGGGCATCGCGCAGTAAATATTCGGAGATCATTGTCTAAGTGAGTGCGTGGCTCCGGGAGCGCCTCTCTGAAGGGGCTGCAGACCTGGAGACCCGTCTTGGACCCAGCCCTGCTGTGTGGAGGTCTCCCTTACTGCTTGCTGGCCCTCATTTGCTTAAAGCATTCGCTAAGGAGTCAATGCGCTTTGTTTGGATTAGGGTAAAGATTTCTCTTTTTTTTCTCACAAATTTTTAAAACTAAAAAATCTATTGCAAGATTCATATAGCATAGAATTTCACCATCTCGCCCGTTTTTTAAGTGAGTCTGCGGTTCCACGGCGTTAAGTACGTGGGCAAGGCTGTGTTTCAAAACCACTGTGGGTTCACAAAGCTTTCTCGTCTAGCAAAGCTAAACTCTCTACCTACTGGATGATAACTTCCCATTCTGTTCCCCTCTTAGCGCCTAGCAACTACCATTTAACCTTCTGTCTCTGTGGATCTGACTGTTCTGAGTCCTTTATGTAAATGACATCACACAGGTTCTATCTTTTGGGCCTAACTTCTCTTAACTTGATACCCTCTAGCGACCTCCATGTTGTAACATGGAAATATTTCCTTTCCTTTTGTAAAGCTGCATAGTATTCCATCACATAGATGACACTTTTTGTTCATCCATTTTTTTCCCCCACTGTGGAACAGTTGGGCTGCTTCTAGTTTTTCATTATTGTGAAAAATGCTGCTAGTAATATGACTTTATAAATATTTTTTCAAGTTCCTACATTTGGTTGGGTACACAGCTAGGATTAGAATTTCTGGATCAACTTGGTCATTCTATTTTATTTTTTTGAGGCATGGGCATACTCTTTCCCTTAGCACAGCATCTACCTTGTTTCTTCATTCTTGCCAATAACTATCATCTTCCATTCTCCCTCTCTCTTCTTTTTTCCTTCCTTCCTTCTTTCCTTCCTATAGATATTCTTATGGGTACAAATAAATGGCACTTTAACTGCCCTCTTTGTTTTCAGACTTCTCTTTTCAAATTTATTTACTTCATTATAGTTAATGTATTTTTTCTGAAAACTTGATCATGCAAAATCTATGATTCCCAATTTTTCTTGTTTTAAATTCTAAGTTTTTACAAACATGCCTCCCTTTCAGGCCTCATTTCTAGTCCATCTACCCTCTCGTCATATTAAAATATTTGCTTTTAAAAAACTTAATATCTGCTTTCAAGACCTTACTTGCATCTACTTTCAAGTGATAGTGATTTCTTTAGCATAAAATATCTTAATTCTATGTTCCTCAAATTTCATTTGTTATCTTCAGAACGTCACTACCTATTTAGTCCTATTTCCCATGATTTTTCCTTTTGGATGGGTTTGCTCTGGGGCAGGGTCTCACTGTGCAGTTCTGGCTGAACTTGAACTCACTGTGTAGCTCAGGCCAGCCTCGAACTCATGGCCGTCCTCTAGCCTTATTCTCCCGAGTGCTGGGATTGCAGGTGTTAGTCACCATGCCTGGCCTTTGGATAGATTTTTAAACAACTTATTAAAAATGTTTGTATTATTTTAAGCAAAATTAGCCATAAAATATTGGTTTTTAATAAGTCAACCATATTAATTGTCCACACATCTTAATAAATTCATTTCTTTCTTCTTTTTTTCTTTGAGACGATCTTGCTATGTACCCCAGGCTGGCCTTGAACTCATGGCAATCCTCCTGTCTCAGCCTCCTGAGTGCTGGGATTACAAGAGTGCATCACCATTCCTGGCTTAATAAACGCATTTCTTATAAATAAAAATGTCTATACATCACCAAAAATCCATCTCAAAGACCAGCCATACTCCATGTACCACACTTTAGGGTGGAAAAGACAGTGCTAACCTATCTTCCCCAACTAATCAACCAGATTCAGCTCACCTTTAGGATGGCTCCTACATTACAGTAAGAAATGCAGTGAGTTTGGCTCTCCAGTCAAATGAGTCCAAATCTCCTCCATCCCGCTCACTATCCCTGCGATCTTAGACCTGTTATTTATCCTCTCTGAGCCCAGTTTCCTCTTTTGCAAAAGGTGCTAATAATAGTTCCTGCCCGAAATCATTTCTTGAGGTGTCATTTGGTTAATGTATTCAGAGCAAATAGCTGCTAACCGTCCTGTCACTGAGAAGCTGGGTCCTAAAACCAAAGGTCTTAACACCGAGAGCACCTGGAGACACACTTCTATGCTTTATGTCTTTGATGAAAGATTTCTGAGGAATCTGGGCTGTCCATAGAGTGTAAGATCTGAGTGCACAGCGAAGCCTGTCACAGAGGTGGGCAGGTCCCAGGGTGGCAGTTGCCCTGAACTGAGCTTCCAGGTTCCAGTTATATGATTTAATTGTATCTTTCAAGAAATATCCTTTCCTTCTTCCACGGTCATTGTTCTTTTACAGGAAAATGAGCTTCGCTGACCTACAAGGTACTTGTGTGCTTACTATGTGGATATTTTAGTTTAGTTTGTTTGGAGACCTTGAGGGTTTTTTCCCCTAACTCTCTCCATGGTCTGGACTTTGTGTGGGTCCTGGACCTTATCAACACACTAAGCAGAGATTACATTCTCTTGAGCTAACGTTTGAAACCACAGTTTCTGTAGATTTTATCTACAGCTAAGGATTAAGAACCTGAAAGAAAAAAGGAAAAAAATTACATCGTCTTTGCTTTTCAAGTCGTTTCCAGCCGCCGTCTCCAGACTGCTAACGGCTCACTTTCCGCCTAACAAACCCTAACTCTCCTTTTGCCCTCCGTATCATTAAAAGACGTGTCAACATTTGCTTCAGTAAAATCATTCAGAGTTCTCTCAGTGTGGAACTGATGGGAACAAATGAAAAGTGGAATCAATTCAGGATGTGCTTTTATGGTTGCTGTAAGTATTGCAATTATTTAACTTTTCTGGGTCTCTAAAATTACAATATTCCAGGGCCAAACGGGATGGAAAGTTGACCCTCTGGGTGTTTTCCCTGCCTGCTTCAGTCAACATCTGCAGCATCCTTAACCCGGCTCTAGGTAGACCGGAGGCAGAGGAGTGTGAAGCCAAGCTGGGCGTCACCAGCTGCCTCTCGCTCTGCTCCGGGATCTTAGTGGCTTCAATGAAAACCAGAAGTGACTGAGTATTTCAGTTTCCAGTGCTGGAGAACACAGGGACAGTGGTAGGAATCGGCTCTGTCTCCCAGCCTTGTTCCTCTCTAACCCTCTTGCATCTGAGTAAGATTTTTTCCATTCTCTATCGTGTTCTGTAGTTCCCTGGGTATGTAGCACTGTCCCCTTTTTTTACTGTTTTGTCTTCAAAGTGTTAGTTTTTTAAAAATTTACTCTTTCTATGAAATTCCCCAATGCAAAGAACCTGAAAGAAGAGGAGGGGAGGAAAGTATGCCTGGATGCCTGCACTTCTGCAAGCCTGACATTCAGCTGAAGTGCTGGCTTTCTCTTTTCAGGCAGATGCATCCCTCCTGTCTCTGTGCTTCCTGGGTAGTAAACCCCTCGGGCAGAAACCGTCCCGCAGGATCACGTGGACAGCGGTGTGAGGGTTCCATAAGAGGGATACTGTACTTTTCTTCTTAAGTCTAATGATTCTCTGCAATCTGAAACAGGTCAAAGGAGCATGCCATTTTTTCCTACCAGATCTATTTCAGTCACAAATATTGAAAAGAACGAAAGATTTATGGTGTAATTTTAATTTCCATATTAATAAAAGAGAAGGATAGGTACGGTTTTCTTTTTAAGTGTCCCTTGTCTTCTAAAGTTAGTAAAAATAAAAATTTTCCCTTAGTGGCTATGTAATGTATTTATATATCCAAGACCTTTACCTTACAGTTTTATGGACTCCTAACATCTAACCCCCATGAACCTGACATTTAAGATGAAATAGGTGGCGTGGCAGGGGCACTTCAAAATACAAGGAAGCATTATTTTTCAGATGTCTGGTTTCAAGCTCTGTGTTTCCTTTAGACACTATAGATCTTTTAATCCTCACACAGTATTTTATGTTTAAAAAAAACTAATTAGACCATTTGCCAATGATTATTAAATGACAGGTTGTATCTTTTGGTAGAAAATATGAATTATCGACCATACATGTTAATATACTAGAAAATGTAAGTTATATTTTTAGAGAAGTCCACAGATTAGTTTGGTAAATAAATTCTTAATGCTTTTAATTGAAATCAACTCTGTAAAAAATAATAGACGATTATTTTGATACAAACGAGTGAAATTAAAATCCTCTTTATTAATTTATTTATCCGTAATTTCTACCAAAAGTTATGTGTCAAACTTAACATTGTTTTTGTTGTCATAGAAAAATTTAATAGCAATCGTTATTTAAAACAGTTAACCTTTCGAGCAACAGAGGAGATTTAATTATATGTTTCCATGAGAACAGTAATCCAATTTTATAAAATAAAATTAAAGCAACTGAGTTCACTTCTAGACTGCTTCAGAAGAAAGCATCTTTAGCAGACAGTGTATGAACAATGTGGTGGGATGTAGGGCATGTACACCATCACGGAAGGTTTCTAACTATTAATTCAGATTTAAAGGCCACCTATCTTTCTAGCTATTCATGAATA